TCCCCTGACTATGATATAACTCATGCAAACAAACTAACTTCACCAATGACATGGGTGTGGACTCTTGTCCACACCCTCTTATTTTCCTTGGTAACCTCAACTTACCTCTTCTAAATTGGACACTAAATGAATGTACATCTGAACCCATTCATTCAACCCTATGCAATGCCGTTACTATGCTGGGACTGGATCAATTAGTATATAACAACACCAGACTAAACAACTGTCTCGACCTCATCTTTTGCAACAGCTCAAACTCAATTTAGAAATACAGGAACCATTTTCAAACAGTGACCATAGCATGATTGACTTTTGTCAAAATTTACACCCACTACAAGAGGATCATAATGATGGATCTCCAAAATACAATTTTAAAAAAGCCAATTATGAACTCATAGCTGCCAACTTATCACCTCTTGATTGGCACATTCTGTTCTCTGACTCTAACACTACAGAAGAACATTATAACACCTTCTTGCTTGAACTTGAAAGAGTCATTAAACTACATGTTCCATTAATAACCCCCCTAAACAAAAAAACAATTTACCCAAAATAATAAGAAAACTTCAGTCTAAAAAAAAAATCCTTATGGCATAAAAACAAAACTAAATACATAACTAACTTTAAAAACCGATACAATACCTATGCCATCAGATAAAGGCAGAATGCATCTATTACCACTGCAAGCAAGAGGAAAATCTACGCATAAAATCCACCTGTGTCTTCTATAACTTTGTAAACACCAAACTTAAAGTCTCAAAAACCATTCCACCTCTAAAAGGTCCTAATGGGAAAGACTATAGTGAGGAAGCTGTTAAGGCAAACCTCTTCAACACGTTCTTCAGTTCAGTCTTTGTTAACAGTAATGGCTCATGCCCCTCATTTCCTAATCGTACAACAACTAACTGCAACAATCTACAAATTGAAGATAACGTAGAAAATGCACTACACCACCTTAAACCATCCTTATCTATTGGCCTGGATGGGTTATGTGCTTTCTTCTTTAAAAAAGCTCTCCTCTACCATAGCAGAACCACTAAGCATAATATATGAGTTATCATTCAGAACCAGCTCTTTACCAAACTTATGGTCTTCAGTAACGGTCATCCCTATTTTCAAAAAAGGTGATCCTTGCTTGGTTGAAAACTACAGACCAATCTCATTGTGTTGTCTTATGTGCAAAGTTATGGAATCCATTATTAATCAATGCATTACCTTCTACCTAGAGTCTAACAACTTACTCTCCAATAAACAATTTGGTTTCAGAAAAAAATTGTCCTGCAATTTGCAACTTCTACACTGCAAAAACATATGGACTACACTTCTCAACCAGGGTAAAGCAATAGATGTAATTTACATTGACTTCTGCAAAGCATTTGACTCAGTGGTACGTGACAAACTACTATTAAAATTAAATTCTTACGGCATTTCTGGATCCCTTCACAAGTGGATTACTGCCTTCCTGACAAACAGGCAACAAATAGTAAAAATAGGAAATGCCCTATCAAACCCTGCACCAGTTATCAGTGGTATTCCACAAGGGAGTGTTCTAGGACCCACACTCTTTACACTTTATATAAATGACCTTTGTGATCACCTTATTAGCAACTGCATCCTCTTTGCTAATAATGTAAAACTATTCAACACCACTGTCAATGCTACTGTCCTTCAAAAAGACCTTGATTATGTATCTGAATGGTCTAACAATTGGCAACTCCAAATATCTACCAACAAATGCTCTGTCCTACACATTGGTAAAAAAAATCTATATACCAAATACAATCTAGGTGGATATGATCTTGTTGATGAACCTCACTTTGTCAAGGACCTCGGAGTTCTCATATCGAATGATCTAAGCACCAAAGCTCACTGCAACAGTATTGCCAAAAAGGCTTTAAGAGTTGTAAATTTAATTTTACGAAGCTTCTCCTCTGGTAATACTGTTTTGCTAACTAGGGCATTCAAAACCTTTGCTAGTCCAATACTTAAATACAGGTCCACTGTCTGGAATCTGCACTGTATATCTGACATAAATACAATTGAGTGAGTCCAGAAATATTTTACCAGAAGAGTACTACATTCCTCTGTTCATAACAGAATATCCTACAACACCAGACTTGAGATTCTTGGCTTAGACAACCTTGAACTACGCCGACTAAGATTAGACTTAAACATAGTAAATAAAATCATATGTTACAACATCTTACCAGTTAATGAATATTTCAGCTTTAACAACAACAACACTAGAGTACACAATAGATATAAACTAAATGTAAACCACTCCAAACTCGATTGCAGGAAGTATGATTTCAGCAACTGAGTGGTTAATGTCTGGAACTCACTTCCTGATTCTGTTGTCACCTGCTCAAACCCCCACTCCTTTACCCTCAAACTAACTTCTGTTGACCTCACCCCATTCCTAAGATGTCTTAAGGGGTGTGCATAAGTGCACAATCGTGCCTACCATCCCTGTCCTATTGTCCCCAATTATTAGTTCCTATTTCTTGTATTTAAACTTATGTTTATTCTTGTTTCTGTTATATTGTAAGCTTTTGAGAAATAAAATAAATAAATAAATAAAATAACATTGTTTTAGTCTCCAGTCCCCTAATCATTTTTTTCCTGCACTCTTTCAAGAATCTCAAATATTTTTTATAATGTGGTCACCAAAACTGGATGCAGTATTTCAAGTGTGGTATTACAAAGGGTTTATGAAGTGATACTAATACTTCATATTATTTTGATTTTATCCCTTTATAAATGAAGCCTAGAATTGCATTGACTTTTTTGGCTGCTTCCATATACTGCTGGATCATATTTAAGTGTCCATTAGGACTTCAGGATCCCTCTTACAGTTACAGATACTGAGCCAAGTTTCACCTCATCTGTACTTAAACAATTGGTTTTTCTTGCATAACCTTACTTTTCTCTATATTGAATTTTGTTTTGTTATATAGAACAAAATATACTTGAAGATGCATTCTATACAGGCCTAGGATGAAAGTGAAAGTATGTGATACAATATACAAAAAGAACAAAAATTTGCTTGCTTTGTTTTTGTTTTAGTTATGTTTTCTATGAATTGTATAATGGCCATGGCCAAATGCTACAGCAGATCCAAAATGAGTAATATTCAGCTATTAATTCTTCTTAAAAATGCCAAAGACATTAATAAGTCCACATCAGAAATAAAGTACTGAAGAATGTCTTGATTTGAGTGTTAAAAGAGAAGAGTTTGAGCACTATTACAGTATAATGCTTTGGCAGAAAATCCTCAGCCTTTACCAAACTGAAGCAGACACCCCTCTGCATTATTAATTAGATGAATAAATTGAGCCACAAATAGAACAGATTTATCCCCACATGAGCACATTGCTTCATCAATTTCTAATTTTCTCCCAATGGTAGCAAAAAAAAATTATAAACCAAATGAATGAGGCAATTCACAAATCATTCAGAACACATTCTGATATGAGTTTTGATTTCTTGCCTAATTCTAAGAAGTTGATTTCTTAGCGCTTAAGCAACTTTTCAGTTTTAATTAATTTGATATAAAGTTTCCTTAAGGTAAGAACTATCCCAAAATCTTATAGTTGTTCAATATTGGCATTTTATTAAAAGCTAAGAATTGTCTATCTGATAGATATTATCTATAGGCAATTTATCAAAGGATCTTAATTTGATCTACTGTATATTTTCCTTTCATTGTGAAATGAAAATGCAAAAACAAGTATTTTTTAGATACGATTGATAGGTGAGTGAATATAAAAATATAATGGTAAGCAGGAGATGAAAAACTAACTCTTATTAATCCATCTCTCTATTTGTATATTTAGCTAATTCTAATATGATATCCCTGAAGAGTTCTTTGTTCTCAAAGAGTATTTCAGAAAAATCTTATGATTATTTCAGCCTAGGCTTTCCAGACAGAGGCATTCCATGAGAAGGAAGGCCATTTATTGAGAGAATTAAAATTTTAAGATTAAAACATATGTTGCCAAATTATTTTCAACCCTGTCTACTATATTGTATGAACTTAATCTGTATGAAGATATGTATGGAATTAATATGTAACATTGAAAATATAACAGTGTTTCTTATCTGCCTAGTGCTGGCCAGTTTCATGTGATTCTCCATAAAACAGGCTTAGAAATATAATCTGTAATGTACAATGTAGGCTTTACCCTGTTTACAGTCAATAGAATGGCCCAGAATTGGACTTGAGATTGATCAGTGGTATGGAAGTACTGATAAACAATTTAATATGAGATTATAAATGTCTATTTCATTTTCTGGGTTTGGACAATATTCTTTGCAACAACTGTGTTTATAGAAAATTCAAGGCTCAAATAAATCACATTTACTATCCTAGTTCATCTACCATGATAAGAAAATGCTTTTATTGCAAAATATTGAATTGAAAATGATCCTACCCAATTTTAAACAAGTTTAATATTTTATACAAATAGCACATTCTGTGAAGACACGTTGTGTTTTGAAAGGAATGAGAGCACCAGATAATTAATTCAAATGTGAGTACAATTACACTTTATTTTTGTGGCACTGTTCACTAGAAACAAATGTTCTCTAAAGCAGGCATTGTATATAAGCATCTATGGTTTGGACATGTGTTGCCCAAAAGGAGAAACCTTATATTATGAATAAGAATAACAAATGAAAAGAAGTGCTTTGGGGTTTGATAGACAGGATTTAGAGACGGGAAAGTACATGCATGCAAAAAATTCTGTATACTTGTTTAAAACTTTGCTTTGCCAAGTAAAGTATAGGGATTCCAAACTGTCTACTCCATGGAAACAAACACAGGGACTCACATACAAATTTAATGGTCGTAGGTATATTGGAGATATTTTTCTACAGAATGAATTTAAATAGATGATTCATGATTGAATAGCAACATCTTCTAGAAAATGATTAACATTGCCATATTAGGTACAGTAATGCTTTCTCAAATCACTAACTTTTTTTCCCTATTTGCAGAGATGAAGAACAGGACAGAAGTGTTCATTTTTCTGGGTCTAACAAAGGACCACAGGCTACAACAGGTCTTCTTCACATTTTTCCTGCTGTTCTATGTAGCCTGTTTATTAGGAAATGGGGCCATTCTGGGAGTCACCTTGGTTGAGCCTCGTCTCCACACACCCATGTATTTTTTTCTGGGGAACCTTTCTTGCTTGGATATATGCTACTCTACTGTGACTGTGCCCAAAATGCTAAGCGGCTTCCTTAGAAAGAATCAGTCAATCTCCTTTATTGGCTGCCTCACTCAATTGCACTTTTTCCACTTCCTAGGCAGTAGTGAGGCTGTACTGCTGGGTATCATGGCATATGATCGATACGTAGCTATTTGTCATCCTCTGCGTTATACTGTCATCATGAGTAAATGGGCTTGTATTACTCTAGCTGGGACCACATGGGCTGCTGGCTTCTTTCATGCCTTGATGCATACAGTGGTGACTTCTCAGCTATGGTTCTGTGGCCCTAATCTTATTGCACATTTTTTCTGTGACATTAAACCCCTACTTAAATTAGCTTGCAGTAGCACAACCCTCAACCTCATCCTGCTGAAACTTGTCACTGGTTCTATTGCTCTGAGTCCTTTCTTTTTCACACTTCTCTCCTATTTTTACATCATCTCCTTCCTCTTCTTCAAGGTTCAGTCATGGCGGAACCGTTGGAAAGCCTTTTCCACCTGTGTATCCCATCTGAGTGTGGTGGCCATCTTCTATATTCCAGTACTTTCCAACTACATGGTTGCTTCTGCTAGTGATTCTTCTGAAAATGATATGATCATTTCTGTATTATACAGTATAATAACACCTGTTTTAAATCCTCTGATCTACACACTGAGGAATCAAGAAGTCAAATTTGCTATAAGAAAGATTATAAACAAAAATCTTCATTTTGAAAGGGATTAAATGCCTGTATCTTTGAAAATAAAGGAAGTGGTGATTAAAATTTTTAAAGCATTCTTATAGTTTGAATCCACCCATCCAAATTCTTTCCATACCCTTCCTTCATTAATGTCATGTTATAATGACTCAGGGTCCAACTCCAGGGCTTTCAAATGCATTGTTACATTAAACTAAATGTTTTATTCCCATTTCTTTGGTAAATTTGTACAACTGATCATTTTAATTTATTTGCACATAGTTTTAAAGATTTATTTGGCACTTACCCCAATTCTAGACCTACATGTTTAATAACTGAAGAAAAAAATACATTGTAAAAAGCATTGCAAAGTTTCTTGACAGAACATTTTTTACATTTTAGAGATACAAAATGGTGCTTATAAATTTCATTCTTGATTGTTCACATTCTTATCAACTTTGTAACTTATATATTCTATAGCCGTGATGGTGAACCTATGGCACGTATGCCGGAAGTGGCACACTGAGCCATCTCTGCTGACACACGAGCCATCGCTGTGGATCAGATTCATTGTGCATGCATGCGTGCCTCCTGCCAGCCAGCTCATGTTGTGCATGCGCGGGGGGTGGGGCATGCATGGGAGATGCATGCACATGCACAAAGATATGGGTTGCATGGGGGTGCACATGAATGCACAGAGGGACAGGGGTTGCACATGCATGCGTAGAGGTGTGGGGTGCGTGGAATCGTGAGTGCATGCGCGAAGGCATAGGGGGTGGGGGGTCATTCACACATTGCATTATGGATGAGAGAGGGAAAGAGAAGCGTCACTCGTGGCAAGAAATCAGTACAGATAAATGCTTTTTCCATACCATTTAAATTGTATTGTGGATTTCTTATTTTATTTTTATTCTACCATTGCATTAAACTTTTAACTACTTGCTTCCTGATTGTATGGATCCTCCCTCCCTCTCTCCTTCTCTCCCTCTCTTTCCTCCTTTCTTTCACTTTCTAGTCAGTCCTGACTCTTGAAACTGCATGAAAAAGTTGCTGCAGATTTCTTAGAAAAATATTTAATGTGACATCTGAGAAATAATGTTTGGTTCAAGGTCATTCAATTTGCTTCATACCTAAAGTAGGACTAGAACTCTATCAGTTTCTAGCCCAATACTTTTAATCACTTCTAATCTTGTATGAACCATAACAAGTGCAAAGTCAATCAACTAATTTATAAATCATTTAATCACCAACATAGTTTCACTCCACTTTTTAAAAATAAATAAATGTGGAAGCATTTTATAATTAGGTTACTAAATTTAGAATGATGAGAAAAAGAAATACAATGTAGATTCATGCACTATACCACTTTGAGCCCCTTTAAAAAAACCACAGATTTTGTTTTGATCTATGTATTTGAAGAATGTGATTACCTATAACAGAAAGATGAATAATATTGTGCTTGAAAGTGTACACTTAGGCAAGAAAAACCAAAAGTATACATATAGACTGGGTGAAACCAGGTTCAATAGCAGTAACTGTGAGAGGGATCTTGGAGTCTTAGTGAACAACCAGCTAAATATGAGCCAGCAGTGTGCAGCAGCAGCCAACAAAGCTCATGCAATCCTAAATTGTATTAACAGAGGGATACAATCAAGATCAAGGGAGGCCTTAGTAAGACCACACCTAGAGTACTGCATCCAGTTTTGGTCACCACATTATAAAAAAAGATGTTGAGACCCTAGAAAAAGTACAGAGAAGAGCAACCAGGATGATTAGGGGATTGGAGACTAAAACATACGAAGAACGATTACAGGAACTGGGCTTGGCTAGTCTAGTAAAGAGAAGGACCAGGGGAGACATGATAGAGGTCTTCCAATATTTGAGGGGCTTCCACAGAGAGGAAGGGGTCAAGCTATTTTCTAAAGTCCCTGTAGGCGAGACAAGAAATAATGGATGGAAACTGAACAAGGAGTGATTTAACCTGGATATAAGGAGAAACTCTCTGACAGTGAGAACAATCAACCAATGGAACACCTTGCCCTCAGAAGTTGTGAGAGTGCCATCCCTTGAGACTTTCAAGAAGAGATTGGACTGCCATTTGTCAGAAATGTATAGGGTCTCCCTCTTGGGCTGGGGGTTGGACTAGATGACCTACAAAGTCCCTTCCAACTCTGATTATCTGTTATCTGTTTCTTGCCTTGAACTATAATCAGATTATTTCATGCATGCTTAGTCCTTATTACTATATCAAATGATACTTTCAAGAATCACCAGCTTGTATATTTCCTGTATAACTTTTTGCTGAAAATAAAAAGAGATTCATTTTAACATCTGGGGAAATAATAAATTTATCCATTAAATTATTGTTAAATAATTGGCTACATGAATTATATGCATAATTTAATTCAATAAATGTATTCCTTCACAACCATTGGTAGTTACTTTTTTCCCTAATGGCAAGAAATGAAGTTATAAGGCAAACATATTTTGCAAAGATGAAAATCATTCAGGATACTTTCTATAAAGAAGGTTGATTATTTGCATCTCTTCTAATTACACCCTGTTGTTTTCTTTGACTCTTGGGTAAATTTATCTTCAGTTATAATTTCCTCTTATTTAGTGAGAAAGATGTCTCATTAAGGTATGAATTATTTAGATATTTCACTTACTCAAAATATTACTCAGGACATATGTTTGACAAATTATTTTACCTTTAAAAATAATATACAGGTACTTATTTTTGAGACAGGCAAATATATGCTAAACATGCCTAAACAATAAGGAAAAAAAGCAAGATATGTGAACATCTAATATATATTAATCCAGGTGGTATTAGCTGTATGATATAATTATTGTTTTGACAACACAAAATTTTTGATATCCTTCTCAACTTTCCTGATTGACAAAGGCATTGCCAGGGAAGAAATATGGGTATATTTTGAAAAGTTCTGCAGAGATTTTATTTACCAGTTTTGATTGTTGGCTTAAAAAATGAAATATTGCATAGCAAGCATTTTATTTATTTATTTACTTATTGATTGATTTATTGATTTCCTACCTTTTTAGCATTTTTATAAATAATTCAAGGTAGCAGACATGCCTAATATCCTTCCTCCTCCTATTTTCCCCAAAATGTAAAAATCTATCTTGTAAAGCAAATAGGACATTATACTTGCTGCAGTGAATCTACTCTCAGCAATAGTAGTTTGCTACCTTTTTAGATATTCATACAGACAAAACAACATCATGCATACCTCAGTTGGCGAGGAACTGAGGGTATGTGTGTTAGTTTTGATTGTGATATGAAACCATTATTGTAGGAGAAGGACAGTGTCAGATATTACATCTTAAAGAAGGATCTTTAAAATAACGCAGGAAGAAAATAAAAGGGAAAAAGAAACATGGAAATGGGATTAACAGCTGGCAGCTTTCATAACATGCCAACAAAATTCTACAGCATAATCATGTATAACAGGTTCAAAATATCTTGCATCTTATAATTAATCTCTAGCCTTTCATGATGTCTAAATAAATTCTCAATATTTTCATGATTTTGTTTGGTTCTTTAATAAGGTGGACTGTTTGTTTCAATGTCTGATGACAATGTTTCTCACTGATTTATTTTTATCGGCAGAATAGCATATTGCTGGGATAAAAACATTGATGATTGAACAAAAAAACTAAAGAACCACTAATGAGCACTAAAAGTGCATCTCAATTAATAAATAATTTCATAATCTGGAAACCTAGACGACTATGATCTAAAGAGAACAAAAACCAGAATATTAACCCAGAAATAATTAGTATAAAATTAAAACTAGTTGAGGAGGTCATTTTTCTCCTTCCATAGTCAACAAAATCATTCTACTATTTCTGCAAAGTGGCAGAGGAAAATACATATTTTTAAAATATATGTTTAGGATGACACCATCATTTTTGCCATTGTAGATCTGTCACAATGGCATCATCAGCAAAATTGTGTTTTTCTTTATCTACATATCTGTGTCCTATCATTCTGTCACTGTCATGCTCAGAAGTGAGATGGATTTAAAGTAGCTGAAGTTTAATGTTCTATAAATTTATTTATTTATTTATTTATTTATTTTGTCAAGTGATTATAAGATAACAGGTATAAGCATAAGCATGATTATGAATAAATGAAATGGATATGAATAAAAAAAGAAACAATAGGACGGGGATAGTATGCACGTTGGTGCACTTATGCACACTCCCTACAGACCTCTTAGGAAAGGGGCGGTCAATAGTAGACAGTCTAAGGTTAAAGTTTTTGGGGTTGGGGAAGAAACCACAGAGTCAGGTAGAGTATTCCAGACATTGACCATGTTGCTGAAGTCATATTTCCTGCAATCAAGTTTGGTGTGGTTAACCTTGAGTTTGTATCTATTGTGTGTTCTTGTATTGTTATGGTTGAAGCTAAAGTATTCATTGACAGGTAGGACATTGCAATGTATAATTTTATGTACTATACTTAGATCAGACTAAAGGCATTATAGTTCTAGATTTTCTAGGTCTAGAATTTCAAGTCTGGTGGCATAAGGTATTCTGCAATAAGTAGAGGACTCTTCTTGTGAAGTATTTCCAGACTTTCTCAACTGTATTAATATCAGATATGTAATGCGGGTTCCAGACTGATGAGCTGTATTCAAGTATTGGTCTAGCAAAAGTTTTGTATGCTCTAGTTAGTAGTGTGATATTACTTGAGAAAAAGCTATGCAGGATAAGGTTAACAACTCTTAATGCCTTTTTGGCTATGTAATTACAGTGGGCTCTAGCACTTAGATCATTAGAGATGAGTACTCCAAGATCCTTTACAGAGTTTGGATCATCAACAAGGACTTGACTATTCAGATTGTATTTTATTTTCTGATATTTTTTTTGCCAATATGTAATACAGAGCATTTATTTGTTGAGATTTGAGGTTGCCATTTGTTTGATCATTCTGATACATAGTTGAGGTCTTTTTGAAGGGTAGCAGTATTTTCAGTGGTGTTGAATAGCTTTACATCATCAGTGAAAAGAATGCAGTTGCTCTTAATATGATCACA